ATTTATCTAGGCCTTATCATATCAATATCAATCATTTATATCAAATATTGATAACAAATGTGCATAAAATTAAGTCAATGATTTGGTTTATACTAATTCATCATCTCCAAGGAGAATACACTGTATGTAAGTTAATACTTTACAAATACTGTACTCTGTTGTCAGACCAGCTCCAGAGAATCTGAAGCTATTTGTACCTGGTGATTTTGTTGGCTCCTTTTTGTACTTTTTGACCAGATACAAGGTAACTCCATCTCTCAATCCATATGTATCCAAAGGCTTTTGTTCATCTAAACACTGTCCACAGTAGATTACCTCTGTTGAAGCAGAAAATTTAAGACATAAAATGATGATGACAAAAGACAGCAATATCAAACATAAACATTTTTATTATCACATTTTTCATTTAATATAATTTTTGTAAAATTTTCAACATAAATATTTAAAAATTTTGCTCCATAAATGAATTGACTTTATCTCCATTTTAAATTTTTGTTGATGTTAATTCTTGATATTTACTGTACATGATAGGAAACACTTTAAGATTTGACTTTTTTGAAAAGAATTAAAGAATTAACATATTCGCCTATATCATGTATATGGTATGTATGTAAAATATCATTTACATTTACACAGTTAACAACTGTTTCAAAAACATGGAATATGGAATTATTTTAATAAAAAAAAATAATGTCTTGATGTCTTTATATAAAAAATATTTAAGCTTTACTTACATTTTCTAATAAATATATCTATTCAGCTTTATACTATAATAGTACTGTAGAAGCACAAATTTTCGTGGGGATAAAATTTCGTTGATTTGTCATCAAAAATAGTTTCATGGGCATTCAATTTCATTGTTTTGAGAGTAAGCCTTTTCAATATATAGTCATATAAAATTTCGTGTGGGATTTAATTTTGTTGATAATTGTTATATAACAACGAAATAAATGAAATTTAATTCCCCATGAATATTTGTGCTTTTACAGTATGTACAAATGTAATGAATCATAATATAAATTCTTGATCCTTAAGAACAAGTTTTGGAGAAACCAAACTATATATCAACCATGAAAGAATGGGTGGACTTAACTGGCCAGAGAAAATGCCGTAAATTAAGTTGCATAAAATGTTTATTTTTTTCCATCATATAAAATTAAACCCCCGATATCTTAACCGTGTATTCATCTTTACCGTGTATTCATGGTACAAATGGGAATTTAAAACACTCTTTTCTGGGTAAACTAAATGAATATCGAAGGCATGGTGCCTGAAGATTTCTTTAATATCAATAGATAATCAGGGTCACACATTTTTCATCGACTGAATACATAGTCAGCGCATGTTTGTCGGCTGTTCTTAAGAAAACTGTAGTTGTATATTGAACAAAATAATGTCATATTTAACGGAGAAGTGCCGACAAACGTGCGCTCATATTGAATTTAACAAAAAAAGTGTTCAAGACAAACTTCTCCCTTCCATTGTTATGACTGCGATTGACCTATTAAATATTATAATTCATCACGTGATGTCCACCTGCTAGTGTACTCGTGAAAGCAGTTACATATTGTATTCTTCTACCTGACCTTGTTCTAAATCATATCTTTGAGCATCTTTGGTTGCACTTTTCAGAATTTAGCAAATTAAATTTTGTTTTAATTTTGCGTGTCATCACACTTTTTCAATAATATCATATTGACATCGCTGTAATATGTTAAACACGTATTTGAATTTTTGGAAAGAGAGAGAGAGGGATAGAGAGAGAGATGTCAACAATGACACCGATCGATAGCCCCGCCTCCTATAAATATTGATTATGTGACCTAAAAACCACTCCGGGTACAAGTCAAATTCCGGAAGACAACACTTATGTATCACTGCTTCAACTTTGATACATGGCAACAGGGCATTGATTTTGTACAAATGTTCCACCCAATATAACCAAGTATACGTAGCTCTTTCCATTGCTTGTCATATATTTTGGATTCACTTCATTTACAGCTTGGAAGAGGAGTCACAAAGATCCAAAATAGGGCGTTAAGTTCACCCATTCTTTGTTTTACTTAGTGTGGACAAACATTACAATCAACAAAAAGTATTTAGGGCACACATTTCCCTAAAATATGAGAAGCAGATTTTATTTATCTCTCCTCGGTCTGCAGGATCGATGTACTTTTCTGTTACATCTTTAGAGTAAGGCCAGATAAAATTAATCTTTAGATTCTCATCCTAATTTGCTAAAAAATCGGGGCGGGTGGGCGGATTTTATTTCTTATTTTTTATAATTGTTGAATTGTAACATGTGTAAGTATCAACAAAACATGGACTCTTGTAAACATTTTTGTTATTATGTTAATGCTAATATGAATAGATTTTATTCTTTTCATATTCTTTTAATATCGAAAGAAGCTTCTTGCTTTAAAAAATTAAATATTTATTGTTAAGAAATTATCAAGTACACAAATACGGCACACGCCAAACAAAATGAGGTGGGGATACCAATAAATTGTGTATGCATGTCAGACTTCCCCAAATACCTTTTAGTTTTACCAACAAATCCCTCTGTTTTCTGTGAAATATCATAGATTTCCACCTTCCTAAAAAATTTGATCGTTCTTGAGACTTGAGATGTTCGACATTAAAATATGTCATATTTGCAAAATCTATAAAATATACTTTAATAAAATATTCTACTGGAAAACCTAGGCCTGAACAGTTTTAAGATTTAACATTTTCTTAGCATTCTTTAAAGTCTGCCTACGATGTTTTATTATTTTTTTCAAAGAAAAATCACACACAGCTGGAGATCATTTAAAACTTGACCAGGTGTCATTTTCCTTGTCTATTTTTACTTAGTTAAAATCTCTCTAATTTGCTCATGCCATTGATACTATCTAGATTTGTTTATGCTATTTTTTTCTTCTCTGCCTTCTCTACACTGACAAATTATCTTTTCCTTACATATTTTAAACTGCTTTTATTGCCGATTTTTCGCCATTCTTCACATGGCTCTTTTGCTATAAATAGCGACACGTGACTTTTGATACAGACGGGAGATAACTCTTAAACTTTGACCCAAATTCAATACATGGAAAATACTTTCAGCACCCAAAAATCGAAATAAAAAACACCGGGGCGGTACATTTTGCGCGGGGCGGGCGGGGATGAGAATCTAAAGATTAATTTTATCTGGCCTAAACTAGTTTTTGGTCTTAGTCATAAATTCTTTTGTAAAACAGGCTCAAGGTGATAAGTTAGAATACTCTAACTTTGTCCCAGGACAAGCCCCCCACAATTAATTATCAATCATTTTAACAACAGCAAGTTCTATCTAGCAGGTCCAGATCACTAAACTTAATTTACACAACACCTTATTTCCACAAGATAGAAATTTACTCTATCTTACACAAAATTTTCTGTCAAAAATGACTGCTCTATATAAACTTTGGCAATTAATACTAATAAAGTAGTATACATAAGAATGATATTTTCGTGAGCACATTGTCTGACATAATTATTTGAGAAATAAGGTATCATTTCTAAACATCTATCGGGATATAAATACAGTGTTTTAAGTAGTTCCGGATTGCAACTAGGAAAACGCTCGCTGTATTGTTTGCGTAGGACTTAAAGTTGATTTCTAAACTGAATCAAATAGTCCTTTTCCTACCTTTTCAACCCCTAATGGCATTTTGTGAAAAATGTTACACTATATTATAAAACTCTCGTACATTAGATATAAGGGAATTCAAGCAGTTTCGAAAATTTCAAGTAGTTCCGGTTATAGCCATTTATGGAGATTATTAAATTGAAATCGTATCAAAATTCATTGTAAATGATCAATTTGTAGAGAATTCCCTACAATGAGACCTTAACATGTAATTTATATATGCATTATATGAATAAAAATATAAAGGAGAAAACATGATGTTTAAGCAAATTTATTGAAAATAAAAACATGAATTAATCTCAACATGAAGTGATCTTATGTTTCTATACACTTTCTCACCCCTTTTAAAATCAATTTAATTATTTACAAATATTTCAATGAAGAATTAAATTATATTTTTGTCCTTTTTAATTTTTTTTTTAATCTTGTATGGTGTACAAGTCCTTTGAGAAAACACCGTCCGTAGTAAATCCAGAACTACTTAAATTGGGATGTTGTGAAGATTGCTCATTATTTTGGAGATGCTTCGTAGTATTAGAAAACCCAAAATTCTTGAGAAAGCAGAAACACCAGTGTCTTATCCACACTTCACGAATTAAATGGGTACCCTTAAAAAGTTTCAAAAAACACCTACAACTTTAGAAACAGCATGTAATTTTTCTACTCAACGTAAATAAAGCGCTTCTGGTAGTAAACATTGAGCTGTTAACATGGAATGAGAGACGGACATTATGATCTTGCTTTACCGTCTAGATTTTAGACAATAAATTCAACTTCGTTTATACAAAAATTCACAAAAAACAGAAACCATTTTGTGTGTTTAATTTTCATTTTTAAACGAAAATTATCCGGAACTGCTTAAAATCCGAAACTACTTAAAGCACTGTATGGGTAGTTCAAGAGGAGATCAAATTGAAAAACAATAAATTTGTCACTGTCATAAATTGCACACTGACGTTGAAAACTCCAATAAGTTATTTTATAAATGAATAACCTTAGAATTTGACTTTTTAGCTAGTAAATGGTGTAGGTATAATTTTTGTGCAGCTGAGCACAATATCAGTCTTACCAAACTCGGTATCAGACGTTTTTATCTTCTTTGAAATTCCCTCTTTAAGCTGTTTAACTGAACCTTTAAAGTTTACAGAGTTGATCTTTAATCTCTCTGATTTCCCTGTTTCTAAACGATTACAAACTGTCACACTTGTCATTTCTGATTTTTTTTTTTTCAAAAACCGTAGACAAAATGTACACAAATTATTTCGGTTCATTTCCATATCGAAATTTTTATACTTGAGTTATCTAAATTCTACTTTCAATTTCTTCCGCATGCGCGTTGCATTGCTGGAATTGCCGCGAAAGACAAGAGAGTAGGAGGCTGCTGGACTTGTTCACTGGTATGCAGGTCTAAAGTAATTAAGTAATCACTGTAATTAATTTCTCAATCAACAATGCTGAACAAAATAAATGGTGATGGGTCTTACAAGTAAAGAAGTAGAAGCACAATAAGATCTTCCATGTATTGTAGATGCATGGACCTATAGGGGATACATAGTCATAGATTATGGCAAGAAATTAATGCTACCTTTACCTATCATATGTTCAGTTGTAACCCAGTTGCAAGACATATATTCATGCATGTTATATACTAGTTACTAGTTAGTTAGAATTATATCTACTTGTGTCTCGCATACATGCCAACTTTTGAAAATTTTCTTGGGAGAGATTGAGCGTAACGACATTTTTCAAAGTTCCTAATTCACGGCGTTTTGCCGTGAAAAATTTAAATAACTATTTGTAGGTTGTATGTTTTAAAATATCAATCTACTACCTTGTATCAGATATTATCACTATATCAAAAAGTCTTCTCTTTTCTATCAACTTCAACAAAAGCACAAATACAATATCATTTGAAATTTAAAAAATGACTATTTTATCAAAATGATGTAATATGTTAATATTAAGATAAACATACCCCCTGCCTTAAAGAATGTGATAAACCAGGGACCTATATACTAACGGGATAGGCAACTACTGCAAGTCTCGCGATATCTCATAAGTCGCAGGATTTCGCAAGTCAACTTTAATTAATTATATCTCTAAAGCAATTGCATATTTGAGATCAAATCCTTTTATTATCTGTCAAAAAATCATTCAAGATTTGTTTTTAGCACGTATTATACTCCTTATCTTAGTAGTAATTTTGTTTTATGCAAAATCAGCACATGCCCGATCGGCCATATTTCGAAGAAATCGCCGATTTCGGTGTTTGTTTTCTTTATATTTTAATTACATTATTATTATGCTTTAAAATTTATTAATAAATCAATTCCAATACATAAAAGGAATAAATGATATTAATCAGAAAACACCCTATTTACTCGGAATAAACATAGTTTGAAAAACTTGTAGTGTTGTGCATGATGTTTTGGGTAAATAAACATGGCAATGAAGGAGTTGCCTATCCCGTTAGTATATAGGTCCCTGGATAAACAAATAGATTATTACATGAATAATAGGGCTGAAACGATACGGCCCCTCCACGATACGATACGTATTGCAATACTTGTGTTACAATTCAATTTTTTCAATACGATACAATTCAAGAAAGAAAGTATTCATAAGTTTAAAGAAAACGTGTTACGATTTAAAAAAAAAGTAAAAGGTAGTGATACAATAGAGAAATACTACCACGGGTATGCAATTTAAATATTCAAATCAAGTACTAGCCCACGGGCTAGTGGCAGCATTAAACTTACTAGCCCCAAGAAAGAAGTTATTTGCCTAAATATAGGGACAAATATTAAAATAAAACTAATGTTAAATAATGTATTGTAATGTAACTAATGTAAATATTAATCATTGAAAAAGTCAGGGTACAAACTACTAAGGTCATTCTTTTTAAAAAGTATAATTCTCACTATTAAAATTAAATCATAAAATTAATGATTATACAAGAAAATAAAAATGAATTTAAAAAAAATATCTGATGTTCCTTTTCTGATTATTTTGCACTAGCTCATTCATGAAATTAAATTCATTCTGTTTTCATATTAAATCATTAAATACACTAGAAATATATTAAATGTGAATCACAATACACTGCTCCTTCAGTTGATTGGTTGATCGTAAATAATTTAATGAGATATATGCAGGTATTTACAAATGACCGGAGGAAGGGAGGAAATTCGGATTATGAAAAAAAAGATCATTTTTGGAAGTAAATAAGTCAGGTAGTACTGCAAAAAATGGAGAAAATTATGGAGATTTGTTGACAGTAAGAGCATGCTGCTTAGAAAATATTCACTGGTTGGGAATTGATAGCAAAAAATGAGTGATACCAGTTGTGCTTTTCATGTATTACATGCGAAGTTATAATTTTTCTATTCAGAATTTCCAAATTTGTTAATCGCACATCACTTCTTGTGGTCCTGTTGATTAAGAGCACTTTATTCGTGTCAATAATAGCAGTGGCAGCCTGCTCTGAAACTTTACTCAAATTACTGTCCCAATTTTCCCTCGTGTGTGTCAAACTATTAAAGAAGGTCAAACCCGATCTATTTCAAGGATTTAATCAAACCCGATTATAAAAAACGTATCGAACCGAAAATCGAGATGGTGGATCGAAAATTGAACCGAGCAATTATATCGAACAATATCGATATTTCGGTGAATCGTTTCAGCCCTAATGAATAAGGATGTTAAACTTTACAAATAAGCTGAAGCAAGTTAAGTTTATGCAGTTACCTTGTGGTTACTGTTCATTGTCTGTTGGTAAATTACAAAGTTCAGAAGGCTACTGTCACAAACACGTAATTATTTTGTTTTATATCAAAGGGAAATCTTTTTTAACTTTTTCCTTCAAAGTCTGCAAAAGGCATGGTCTTTTCCTTTCTTTTTCTGAATGATCACTCCTAATAGTTTGAACTTGCATGCACATCTTTTAATGTTCAGGGGTCAAAAAAATTTTTTATAACTCACTTGCCCAAGTGATACGTACAGTAAATTTCACTTGCCCGCCTAAAAAAATCACTTGCCCGCCTAAAAAAATCACTTGCCCAACAAAAACATGAAATAAGATTTTATTGACATTATGTTCAAATTTACAGGCTAACATTTTTCCCATGGTTCGAATACGTGAATCCTCCCTCCCCCAATATTAAAATATTTATGCTATTTATAATGTTTATGTCTCTGATATACTATAATTATATATTAATATGCTATATTGCATTGTATTTTTGCTCTGCATTTCATTTCCGGAAATATGCATAGCATTTCCTACATTTTTTTATTTCATTTCCAACATTTTTTGTTTTCATTTCCAACAAAATTTTGTTTTCATTTCCGGAATTTATGTGTGCGGCAATTCAATGTTATTTAAGTAAGTAAAAATGGAATTTTAAAAGTATTTATTACAAAATATTGATAATAAAAACAAAACATTTACACATACGAGGGTTGTTCGAAAATTATTGAGACATTGTGTATATTTTGCTTTTTAATGCATGAACGTCTTTCGGTGAAAATTTGCATATACGTTTGAAATACACTAAGAATTAATAAAGGCAAAAAATATTTTACAAATATTAAATGTTTTCTGTACAATGGTATATAAATGCGTCAATAGTAGGGGTACCCGGAGCAGTCACAAAATCAGATATTGAAAATATGTAACACCAACATTCTAACTCTTCCTGGACCCATAATAAGAGTGAAAATAATTCAGTTTATGAGTATAATTTTTCAGCGTTATTTCAAATTCATGTTGTGCAACTTTGTTAGAATTTTGATCAGAAATACGGAGATCATTAAAAAAATCAAGCGCGATAGAGAAATCTGCTAACAACGAAAAAATGGATTTTGACATCAATTCAATTTTCAATCAAAACTCGTGAAAAGAACAACTTTTAACAACATTGGTGTCTACTTTCTTTTATTTTTATGCTCCGCCATGAATATGGCCGGGGCATATAGTGTTTGTCATGTCCGTCTTCCGTCCTTCTGTCCTTCCGTCACACTTTGCGTTTAGCTCTGTTCAAAGCTAAGTTTCAAAGAAACTATCCAAGATATTTTCATCAAACTTCATATGCTGATAGATATTGATGAGAGCTATGCAACTGCATCAACATTTTTTGACCTTGACCTTTCCTTTGACCTTGACCTCACTTTTCTTAAATTAGTGTTTAGCTCAGTTTTAAACATACCATTCAAGATGGTGTTATCAAACTTCACATGTGGATACAAACTTGCACGGATAATGCATCTAGGGATGAACACTACCAGACTTGCTTCGGATGCTGGATCTGACCTACATTTTCCAGATGAGTGACCAGATTAAAGTTTTTGGAGCAGGTCCATTCCTAAGGAACTTTCGTTAAGCCCAACTTGGACCAAACTTGCATGGATGATGCATCTAAGGATGGACACTACCAGACTTGCTTCGAATGCTGGATCTGACCTACATTTTCATTCCCAAGTAACTATAAGCCCTACCTGAACCAAACTTGCATGGATGATGCAGCTAGGGATCGACACTACCAGACTTGCTTCGGATGCTGGATCTGACCTATATTTTCATTCCCAAGTAACTATAAGTCCTACCTGATCCAAACTTGCATGGATGATGCATCTAGGGATGGACACTACCAGACTTGCTTCGGATGCTGGATCTTACCTAATTCAGAATTTCCAAGTAACTATAAGCCCTACCTGAACCAAACTTGCATGGATGATGCATCTAGGGATGGACACTACCAGACTTGCTTCGGATGCTGGATCTGACCTACATTTTCATTCCCAAGTAACTATAAGCCCTACCTGAATCAAACTTGCATGGATGATGCATCTAGGGATGGACACTACCAGACTTGCTTCGGATGCTGGATCTGACCTATATTTTTATTCCCTAGTAACTATAAGCCCTACCTGAAACAAACTGATCAAATTTTATACACATACAAATTTTCATGTTGCTTTACTAATATATCCTCGGCGGGGCATTCATATCCTATGGACATATTTCTAGTTTAATACTTTCCCGAGCAGGTGAGCATGACCCATGATCACACTTTCCCATACAGATTTTTACTCACCCCGGGCAACGGGAAAGCGTAATTCTAGAATCTAGACCCCTGATGTTGGATTTTGGCAGTGTCTTTTCCATGAAGTACCGGTAGATCATAATTTAATGAGGAATGCCATATTTCCAAAACTTGAAAACCTTTTATAAATGGTTTATATGTATATTGTCAAAGTTTGCTATAAAGTGCACAAAAAATATTGCGCCGTAAATTGCACCTTTTTTGCATTATGGGATCTGTAGCGTTATGGTCAAAGACAAATATATAAAATCATAACGCTACAGATCTGCAGCTACTGTAAAGTGTGAACTCTC